TTTCAACTACTAGTAGAATGGAATTAATAAGGTTTATTAAATAAACCTCTGAAACAGGGTTATTGTCTGAGAACAAAACATCTTGGGGGCAAATCCTGTTTCATCCTGCCAGAAACTCCAATTTCCTTCAATAACAGCAATCCACTTGGAACAGCACCGCTGTAGTGTAACAGTCTATTACAACATGTGCTGTTCCCCCCATCATTACGCAGCCTGAAGCAGATGTACTGTATCCTCCCCAGCACTCAGCTGGTGTGTATGGGAGCACTTCTGGACCCACATATCAGGAACAATTCAAAGACATCATATCATCCCGCTCCAATTTCATACCTCAAAAGTTGTGCAACATTTGATCAGTGAACGTAACGGCTGTGGTCAACATGTTTGGATCCGCTGTGAGAGTCAAGCTGATGATGTAACCCTCGTGACAAATGTGTGTTTAGTTTGGTTCAATTACATTTCGTTGATCTGCCAGAAACTACATCACTAATAATACATTACATGTCATTTGGCTGACGCTTTTATCCAAAGCGACTTATAATAAGTGTATTTCACCCATAAGAATACAAACTCAAAAGAACAAGAAAGTGCAATTTGATTAAATAAGCCGATTTACAACTTGCTATGGATAAGAGCCATTATAAGTACAATTTAAGTGCTACAATTTGTCAGTCAAAGATCTTTTTAGTTAAGGTAGAGTCATTTTGCATCTGAAGATGTGAAGGCTTTAATATAGAATTTTTTCCACAACATCTGATTTTTTACCTAAGATCAGGTATAATTCCTTTTCTATTATTATGCTACCGCACATTCTTTCAATGTTAAGTATTTACCCTTTAGCATCCAAAAAATATTATGAAGGAAAAATCTCTACATGATACTAATAGAAAGTACAGCTAAAAATGGAACGGTCCACCTGAACAGATACAAAGGTGCATCAAAAATGCATTTCTTTGTGACGGAAACCTAAGATAGGCCACCACATACGTTCACAAAACTGCATGACAATCACACCCCTCCACGTGGTCACATTCTCACCGCATTTCCATTCTCTCACTGGCGGGCCACTGTTTCCAGCAACGGATGTTTTTTGAGGCCAGTGTTTCTTTGAAAAGATACGGAGGGCACAAGACCGGCTGGAGAGAAACGCACCAGCTATTTTAAAATTGCGACTTGAAGTTTCACCTTGCTAGAACTCTTTTGATGAGGGAGAGTTCTTTTAAAAAAAAAAAAATCTTCACAACGCAATGTCTCGAATGTATTTCATTTCTCTTCAGAAAGGATCCAATACAGAGAGAGACTACTTGAATAGTGGCTGTAACTCCAATGGGTATTCATTACGATGTGTAGTTTGGTTAAAAGTAAAATAACAAAAATGCACTTAATCTCTACACAAAAAGCAAACGCACACGTGCGCACTCCAACAGGAAGTGTGGGTGTTTGGGAGCAGCTGCATGGAGAAGCATCAGACCCAGCTTCCTCCTAGTGCAGCCAGCATCGCATCTCTTTTCTCTTCTATTTACTCATTTCCTTCACATCACTAACACGGACCGAAACCCATATCCAGTCAGAGACAGACAACACCGCCATCCCGTTCCATCCCGTTCCATCCCACTCCATCCCGCTCCATCTCGTTCCATCTCGTTCCATCTCGTTCCAAAAAACACCAGCACATCACTACCCGAAAGTCAAAATATTGCACAACACTTCCCTGCGTTTAACTCTAATCTAAGGCTCAGTGGTAACGATAAAACTTGACCCCACCCTCACACCTGCGCCACACGAGGCTCAGCTTACTTAAGGCGCTGATGGACACGAGATAACGACAGAAAACCGACGTATGAAAGACGTGTTTTGGAAACGTAACAGTTACATTGGAGTGTCAGCTGCGGATTGTTGATCTTTCGCGTTGCGCAATGATCTTTGTCGGGGCTTGATTTTAAAAATGAGATGATCAACAGGATACGCTGCATCTGCCAGTGAGTATGTAAATGTCCCATATAGTTGAATATAGTGTCGCAATCGAGGCCGGCGGGGCCGTCCTCCAGCGCAGGTGCAACTGCCTCACCGCCGTTTTGTTTCCCTTTCCCTTTTCTATTTCTTAATTCCAATTCTAAACCAGTGTGCTATCACCTCGTCCCATTCCAACCAGCATCCATCTGTCTTCTACTACCACTTCCTTTAACCCCTCTCCCCAGCTCCGTTCTCGTCAGCAGCCCCCCCCCCCCCCCCCAGTTAAGTGGTTACTGAGCTGGAGACACTGAGCAGTTATTTCTGTGTTTCCTGTGTGTCATGTGGTGGTAGCTCGAGCTAGCTAGCATGGCTGACAACACACAGGGGCCCAGGTGCAGAGCGTCACAGCAAGGGCCGTCAGCCAGAAAGCCAGTGGGTCAGTCAGCAAGCCAACTGGGCCCTGCAAGCACATGCTGCCCCTCCACCCGCACCCGTAACCCATTGCCATTCCCAGGCGGGAAAAGGCTTGAGACATTTTGAACTTGGTCTTTTTCCATCGTTTTATTGCACCAAGCAAATTATCTGAAGTTTTTTTTTTCATGTGTTGTCAACCTGTGGAACTGATGACACTCTTTTTTTTGTGCAGTTCTACCGTATTTGAAATAAGTTTTCAGGGGTCAGACTGCGCCAACAGAGAACACCCTTAGTTAAGGCGGCATGCAGGGGCAGCAGGGTTCACCCTTTTCCCCCGGGGGTTGCAGATGCATCGATCCAGACAAGGCTGCACTTCTCTGGGCAGCACAGAGGGACTGCTGTGCTCCGGTTTGTGGAGCCCCGATGCTCCGTCGAGACCCTGCGCCCATGCAGGAACCAGTGGGAGGGGAAGGGGGAGAGCAAGAGAGGGGATGCAAACACATCTGGCATCTGCAAAAACCCTGCACACAACTTTCATATCATCACGAGAGAAATGTAAAGGCTGCACAGAAAGGTGGGCTCAGTGTTTGCCCTCCTGCTATCACACATGAAGACAGACGATGCACCCACCCACACATGTATCCAATTGGGTGCCTACTACCTCTGCAATCTAGAAAAGTAATTATGTGAGGAACGGAACAATAAGTCACAACAATTCTCCAGCACCAGAATACACCACTCCTTGCTGTTGTTCTATTCATACAGCTCACTAAAACAATGCCGCGTTGGTGTCTGAAGAAGAAGAAGTTATTCAGCTGCATTTCAGGCAAAGAGGAATTAAACAATGCTACTTGCAATGATGTTTACATACCCGGTACTTCATATGCATATGGCAAGATCTATTAAAGCCGCCAAAGGGAAGATAGATGAAAGGCTGCGAAAGGAGGACACAATCGAGAGCGTATCAGAGTGCAAGAAATTTGTGTGGGTGCACGTCTGTGCAAGGTGTCTTTTTGCGTGGGCGAGGCCTTTTGCATTAGGCGGCAGTACAGGACGGAGTTAGAGCTTGTGGTGGTTAGGACGTGTCTTTGTTTGTGCGTGCGTAAATGTGCGAGTGAGAGTGCACAGATCTTCTAGCTAAACAGCGCACACTTCTTTCTCCATTTCAGCCGGCACGTGTCTCTGGAGCCTGTTCTTGCGCAGTCGGCCGAGAATTTTGACGAGGACAAGAACGCACGCTTGTAAGGGAAGAGCATAATGAGAAAAATGCAAATACACAGTGGCGTTGGTGTGCCTGTGTGCTGCCTCCTCTTCAGGGTGACTGAGTAAAGGCCAATGGGAGGCATAGCAGCGAGCTGGAGCGGTATGGTCTTTGTGGCCAGCTGTGGGGCCATTAAAGGCCCATCTGCAGACAATAGGCTCTGTCTGAAGGGCACACACAGCCTGGTTCCTGTCCTGCCCTGCCTCACTGTGTTTGTGTATGGATGCGTATATGAGTACCATGCATTTCCATGCCCCATTTTAATCTATCACAAAGGAAGACACAGAAAACATACTTAGTCATAGAGCGGCTGCTTAATGTCATTTGAATGGGTCTGCATTAAAATGTAGAATTTCCACAGCACTTACAAATAATGGACATGTTGTTATTGTTCTCTGTGGAAAACGTATAGAATCATGCTGTGGTTCACTGTGAGGCTTCAAGACATAAACAGATTACCGCGTGCAAATCAAGCTTTCATACCAGCTTCTCTTCAAAGCTGAGGAAATGAAGGTCTCTTTATTAAAAGGTTATCTCGTCTCACACGCTCGCCCAAACACAACAGCGTGTCAAAATTTAGCTGGAAAACAGCTAGCTGGTCCAACCACATACCGCTCAAAGTGGTTCAAACTAGTAAGCCACAGCTTCAAATGCCCTGACACACACACACGCACACACACACACACACACACACACACACACACACACACAAAAGGCTGCTGCATGCAGACACATGCAAAAAATATCTGCCCCAATACTAAAATAAGCCTTGAGAGGTTGCACCTGCACCTGTGCCCTGGTCCACACCTACACACAGGTGTCAGGATGTGACACATACACACAGACAGAAAGAAAGATAGCAGAGAGGGAGGGGGAAAAACGAGAGCGGGGTGAATCACACTACTGCGGTCGACCAAAAAGCTTTTACTAGATATCATCTCTGTACTTTTGAGTTTAATGATGAGTGTGATTTCAATTTTAAAATAGACTTTCAGGCATTCGATAAAAAATAAAATGCACACAATTGGGTAATTCCTCAGTTCGCTCACACGTAATTTTATAATGTGTCACAGGACTTTTGTACATGATTATGGGTGTGCGGGTAGTGGAGTGAGGGCTTAAGCAAAGTGTGTATCATTTTGAACGCTTGAGTGCCTCAAGTGTCTCATTTCGCAGTCTAGAATGAGTGAAGTCTCTAATGGAACCAACTGTGTGTCACACCCATTTATCCTTAATTGGTACGGTCCTTTTTCAAAACGGGCAGAAAAGCATGAGCGATAATTCAAATAATTTAAATAATTTAAATAAATAAATAACCTCCATGGGCAGAAACATGCACGTTAGATCACACGGACTCACAAGCACCCAAAAATGGTTTGAGATACATTTATTATTTCAAGATTGAGAAAACAAAATAAAGTCACTTTTACTTTCTTTACATGTCTAATCGGCCTAAAATCCAAATACTTACGGAGGATGCAACGAAAGCATTCTGACACTCCGCTCTTTATGAAACGTTGCCACCTTGTGGACGCTGACGGATACTGCAGTCCAACCAGAAACCGCTCCGAGTGCACTACAACCTCAGGTTTAATTCCCCTTTCATTCATTTTCATTCCCTTTCTTTCCTCTTTTTAAAAAGTGTTTTAATGCATTTTACATCTTATGCAAAGAATTTTGTATTGCCTCTCTATTTCACAGTTCTCTCATATAGCAAATTATAGTCTTATATTGTCTTACAGTTTAGAAATCTTTACAAAGTTTTAGTGAGTTGACCAATTCTAATATATGTAGATATTAGTATTACATAGTTTATTTGTATAAACTGTCTATTCTCTATTTTGTAAGTACATCGAGAGCAACAACAGCAGTAAAATGATGTTCATGTGCGCACACATTGGCCAATAATTCTGACATTGTTTTCACAGACGAATGTTTTAGCTCTGATAAAAACGTTCAATGAAGCTTAGTAATATATTTGCAATCCGACTGTATAGAAAAATATGTTATATGGAAAATATAATTAACAAGTGCATCAAAAAGAATAGATTTGTATTAATCAATGCCCAAATAACAACCTTCCAAATTCCTCGTCCTTATCTCTCCCACCATTTATCCCTCACAGTTCATCCTTTCCGGCTCCGATGGGACAAGAGACTCCGGTTCCTTTGAGGCCACAATAGCCCTTAGGGACCTTCTTCAGATACTGCTGGTGATAGTCCTCAGCGTAGTAAAACCGCTGCCCCTCCCGGGTCTCTGTGGTGATTTGACCGTAACCTTTTTTATCCAGCTCCTACAGATAAAAACAAAACCATGACATCACCTTTAAACCATTTTTTCATGCATTTCAAAACACGGTGAAATGAAAAAAGTTTGGAGGTTTGATTTAAGGTGTGTTCACTGAAACTACTGGCCTTCTAAATCGACAGCAATGCGGTTAAACTTAGAAATCCCTGAACTATGAAGAAGATGTCCTCCGTTTGCAGCATCTGTATGTGCTCAGATTTTGTAGCCCGTCTCCAACACTTCAGCCCCGACACACATTCGGTACTACTTTGTTTTTCCCCTCAAAATTAGTAACAAGGGTACACGCCTCTTCAATCGTTTTTTCTACTCTGCAGTCTATGGGAAGCACACTTTCAAGAACTCTCTAATACGGTAAAGAGTTTTTGCTCGGCAGCTGGAAAGCAGGGGGATTGACTGACAGAAGAAAGGAACACACTTTTCTCTCAGTAGTGCAGCTCGCCTCCGTGGCGCTCTCGGTGGGACAACGCATCAAAGAGGAGCCGCTCGCTTTGACAACTCTTTAAGACACTTTCATACGTACACTTTTCTAAGCACTTTGAGAAAAGGCTTTACGCACACACACGTGCACACAAAAAAGCACACTTGTACACAAACACACACATTAATACCTCTGATAGATAAATCAAATAACTGATGAGCTCAGTGGTTTTCTCAGTTTAATAATAAAAGTACTCAGTCGGCTAGATGGGGCGCGCTGGGAGTGTCTGAGGGTAACAAGTGACTCACATGTGGCACTTTATCTGCGTGCCGCACCGAGGAGCTTTGCTCAATGGGTTTAAAGCTTAGAGATGACGTTTTCGTCAATGGACAGGTTTCAGCCAGCTCCAATTCTTATCAGATTCAGCGTCCGTCCCGCTCTCATCAGGGCTGCTGGAGAACTTATGGATTCTTTGTTCATAAAACTTTAAAATGATGGGATTTATTTATTTCACGTGTGACTTATGAAAAAAAACAACCTGTGTTGCAATATGGATTTGACACTTTATATTTTTGACAACTTTGCGATCCTTCTGAGCGAGTATTTTTCTTTGCTCATAGTTTAGTATTGGGGACTTGCAATGTCATAGCCTTGGTTCACTCCCCCATTAACCCCATTTCCAGCAGCAGCAGGCGGCTAATTTCAGTGGTTAATCTCTGATACACCCACACTACGCAATGCACAGCTCCAGATGGAATACAAAAAACATTGAACATTTAGACATTTATTTTTTCAAAAAGTAATGGAATGGAGTTAATTAGCCAATACGCCAATAAAAAAGGCAGAAATTAGAGATAACTGCTTATCGGAAGTTTGTCATATTTCTTTTTTCTGGATAAACTTTTGTAGGCAAACTACCTTTTCATGCACTTCTATTTGCACTTCTATCCAAGTGTGACTACGCATATTTTACTGGAATTGTAACTAAGCTAAATAATAAAATATGGACATTTTCTAATTGGTCCTTTCAGGTCATCTGGAAAGAGGAAGACATGTTTAACAAGCACCAATACCAATTTATAAAAAGGTAATTGTGCTTGTGACGGGCTGCAAGGCAGTGTACCATTTTGTCCACACGGAGGCAGTGTGGGACAAGCAGTGTGTGTGTGTCTGTGTGCATGTTTGCGCGAGTGTGTGCGTGCCAGTGGTGATACAGTGCAGTAAATCAAAGCTCGGCGCCCCGCAGACAGGCCGAGGCTGACCTCCCAGTCCGCCACACTGCGAGGGCTCTGATCCCCCCTGCAGGAAGGACCGGACGTCCACAAACCCAAACCACAGCCAGAACACCTCAACCTCACCGCCAAGGACACATCTACCTTTTTCATATGTCCACTGTGTGCAGTCCGACACGGAGGAACCCATTTGTGCTTCCCTGCATCCAACAGCATTGTCGTCAAGCGGCCAACGCAAGCATGGAGTCTTTGTACATCGTGGCCTAATTAATCAGTCATCACGACAGAACCACTGTAGTAGCAAAAACCCCTCCGGGGCGGAGGAGGGTTCATGCGAGCCGAGCACAACGTCCCAAGGGAAGTCTGCTACTGCGAGCAAACATAACCCCCCCCCCCCTCTAACCACATTGGGGGGGGCGGAAATCCCGGAAAGATCCCGCGCCCTCCACCAGCCCGGGAAGCAATCAACACGGGGGGGTTTTACATTATATAACAAATGATGGGGTACCCGTGTTGAAAACTAATGGGGTTCGCCGCTCTCTGTTCGCTGCAGCAGCAGCAGAGGAATGGAGGTAAGGATGTGGACTGTAAAAAATGCCAAAGATGGAGGAAAGAAAATTCTAGGGAGGGAGGGCAAACGGGGCGGCCGGTAAATGATGCTGCACAGAGGGGGGGAAACGTTTTCCTACGCGTTTGTGTAGGCGCTTGTATACATGTGTGTGTGTGTGAGGATTGACGCAAACGGTAATGAATACAAAACCAGGAAGGTATAGTCTAGGGTGTGTGTGTGTATTCTCAGACATAATGGACAAATCCACGAGGTAAACCCTCACAGTGCGGGGGGGTTGAGACCTTTTGGTTATGGTTGGGATGAGTCATGGACTGCTTATAGTTAAATCGCCAGGGAATAAATGTCAATGCAATGTCCTCCTAAGTGACAAAACGTGTTTGTGTGTGTGTGAGTGTTTTAAGGGCTGAGCTCACTCAGCCCAGTCAGCCCTTCCTTTCTTCACGCCTGTCGGAAAGACTCCCCTGTCAAAGGCACGGCTGAACGGGTGCATATCTCTCTCTCTCTACCTCCATTGTCGACTCTCTCTCTCTCTCTCCCCCATTTGAGCACAGACCACGGAGTCGTGCAACAAAGTCCTCCCTGCTCTCCAGCCAAGCGAGAGAGACCCCTCTCGCCATCACCATCGCCGGAGAGACGGCCTGGGGACACAAATAGGACGTGACACCCCGAGAGAGGGTGGAGGTGGAAGAGCAAGAGGGGGAGGAGGGAGGAGGAGGAAGAAGAAGTAAATGTGCTCTCTCCTCCCGTCCAACCCCACCGTCTTGTCTCTTCCCCTCGGAAGGCCCACGGCTGCAGAGCGCTCGGGAGGAGACGCACATTGACAGAGAGTTTGTGACACCAGATGACTCATGGTGAAGACATTTGAGGAGGAACATGACCTCAATTCAATGATTTATGTAATCATCCCATAGTCCATTTCTGTGACGGGTGTGTGGTTACTGCCACACGTTCCATCTTTTACTTATTCTTTTCTTGGGCGGAAGAAGAACGAAGATGGTTTTGTAAGTAAAATGGCAATGCCTCGATGTAAAAGCACCACATCCCAGATGTTGTGTTGTTACTATGTTAGAAGAACAAAATGAATTTCGCCTTTAACAACAGGCATCTCGTGGAATTATCGGAGAACATCATTGCTGATGCATGTGTGTGGAACCTCCCTTTAATGTTGTAGTTTTTCTAAATTAAGCTATTTCTAATTAATACTGTTCTAATCCAGAATACAAAATTGTTAATAATCTGCTCATATGTATTATATATATTATATTGTATTAACTGGCTACCTCTCTCAAAATAAATTAGAAAATTAAAAGATGGAAAATATTCTTTGGGAAATTTAGTATAGAATATAAAGAACAAAATGAATGAAATGTAATAGTTTAGATCAAGTACCGCAAGTTGTACTTAAATAAAGCACTTTAAAGAACTTAAATGTACAGACAAAAGACAGAAAAGGGTTTGTTACAATAAAGTCATAAGCACAGATCTATAAACAATGAATGTTTCGCTGCAGCTGCTCACCTGAACGTTACATTCAAAATGTAAATTTACTCTACTGCCAAAAGCAAAATTGCTCTGCGAAACAATGCGCCGGAAAACCCCCTGGAGTAGGCTGACACGATACTTATCGCCGAGTCACCGCGCTTGCCCTTGATGACCTCGCGGAGAGAGAAGGAGCGATAGCGGTGGAGAGAAGACGAAGGACCAGGACAGACGGGGAGCGAAAGAGACGCAGGGACGGTGCGGGGACACGCAGGGCGATGTGGAGGAGAGTACAGGAGATCCCGGGCAGATTATCCAGAGGCCGACGGAATATTTTTCATCATCTTACTCACGGAAAAATAGTGTGAAATAAGAGAGAAGATAACGAAGAGAAGTACGTTGTGCTTCGTCTTTGTGAAATCCCATTTGTGTAAAACATTCATGTGCGTCCCTGCGAGTGAGAGCTAAAGGATGCGTATTCCCTCCGTGTGTTTGTCTGCACAGAGGATGAAGAGGGTTTTTTTTTTTTCCTGCCCTGCTCTGCTCTGTCGTTCTCTTTTCCAGCGCGGGTCAGGCATCCATTTTAGCTGGGCTCTAATCTTCAGTGAGCGCGCCTACATTTTGTGAGCGAGGAAGCCAACACTCCTACATTTTGAGAGGGTGAGAGTCTCGGTCTAGAAGCACGGCGGCGTGTGCTGCTACGTCGTTATTTTTCTGGTTTATTTTATTTTTTTATCATCACATCTGAAGACTGAAAAATGCAAAGCGCATTCTTGTGAAAAGCGATCGCCTTTAAACATTTCAGCTGCACTCAATATCTCAACGTGGTATCTCGTAGTCAGGGATGGGCATTTACCCTGTGGCAATTAAAAACTAATTTGTGAACAATATAGATAAACGTTCCGTTATAAACTACTACCTCCTAGTTTTGTGAGAAAGGTTGAGATTGATTGATCAGTTCAGCAAAATATTTCTATGTAAAACCCGGAGAGACAAAATGAGGTTTGGGGAGTAGCTGGAAGGGTAAATCGGACTTTTGAAGACTTTCCAAAATAAAAGCATGTCAGCTCGTATGACTCGAAGCCCCGATTACAAAACCTGCTGATGCTGGGCCCCGTTCCTAACAACCTCCGGGCTGCTCCTCAGGATTTTTAGCCCCTAACAATCCCCCCCCCCCCCCCCCCCTTTACAGCCATCACCCCTGTAAACCCCCCTTTAGACCCCCTTTTCCAGCTCATTAAGTTAGGATGCCTTATCAGAGTGCACACTCACCCCTCCAAGGCCACACACACACACACACACACACACACACACACACACACACACACACACACACACACACACACACACACACACACACACACACACACACACACACACACACGTGAAATTCAAGCTGGCTTGATAAAAACTATTGTTCATACATGCACACATTCATCACTCTCGAACAAACACACACAAATATAAAATTGAGGAAGGGGTTCTCTACACACACACATTTTGCTATATATATATAATTTATATAAATAAAGATATATATTTAAATCCGATCCTCAATTTCTCTCCAAACCCTAAACCATCTCTAAGCGACCCCCTCAAACGCCCTGCACTCTCCTCCTAATCAACTCTTCCAACCCCCCCCCTCCACCGCTTCCCCCCCTCCAGCTCTGGGGAGACACATTTTAGAAAAGTGGAAAGGATGGAGGGAAAGAGAAGGGGAAAGGAAGAGAGAGACGGGGGAGACAGAGGGAGAGAAAGAGATGTACTCCTCCTCTCTGCTCTGCTGCCACAGCGGCTTGGCTGCAGAAGCCTTTGATGTTCTGCAAATTTCAAATTTCATTATAGAGAACCCCCGTCCCCCCCCCCGCCTTTCCCTTTCCCTTCTCCCCCGCTCTGCTCTTGCGCTTAAACAAGCTTTTCTGCCTGACTCTCCCGCGCCCCCACCCCCAATGCCGAAGTTAAGAAACTGAAAGCCCTGCAGAAGAGACTCTTCATATGGGTTAATTATTCATTGGGCTCTGCTTGTATGGGCCAAATGCGCGTCTCTGTCTGCGTCTGTACGTACCAGTGAGTGTGTGTGAGTCACGGGCCGGCAGTGGGGCGGAATCTGGATTTTGCGATGGTCTCGGATCGCCTCCGCCCACGCTCTCTCGTCGCTCTACCGAAAACATGCTCTCACTTCTCCTGATAAGACGGCGACGGCCTTTTTTTAGGATGAAAAACACAAACCCGACCTCACGAGCACAGACGGACGTACTGCAAGGCCTTCGAAAAGGAGACATGGTCCCCCCCGTTCTCGATACTCGGCATCGATGCGGCAAGGCGACCATTTCAGGGCAGGAAGCTGCCATTTTGGTTCAGAGCGTGTCAGCGGCTTTGAGAGGCAATGTGTCCCAGTGGCACTCGGATGAAACCGGGGTGCCACTGAAGTGGTTGACAGATCGCTGGTGTCAGCAGCGTTGGTGGGTTGAGAGGAGAGGTGAACCAGGGAAAAAAGCCTGTGGGCCGTTTTGGCTGTGGATGTTTCTAAATGGGTGTGGGTTTTTTTTTGAGCGTGAACTCATTTACAGTTCTAACCCTTTTTTTGGCGTGGCGGTGACAAGAAAAAATGCTTGTTTTGTAAGATTTATTGAGTATTCAGAGCTCAGGCTGTTGTCTTAGGGATGACCTACATTGTTATTTTCAGAAAAGGTTAGGTTACTAAATTGTAGTCAGTGAAACCCTAAATATTATAGAATAAAATTGTAATTTAAATGTTTTCAACACACAGTACATGACTGTATATGCATGCATTGATAGATGCTTTAAGGGGATTTAACACTGCATTATGGGTAAGTATCAACAGTGGGCGAATGAAAACGTGTTTTTAGTTTTGCGTTCGCAAAACAATCTCATCTCACGGACCATTTAGTGGCTTAAGGTTGAGTTGTAAAGTTCATCAAACGATAATTGTAACTTTGAATAGTTAAAGTATATCACATGGCGTATTATTAAGGTCAGTCGGGTCCCTCTGGCCTGATGTTCTCGTTTTCCTGTCTTTCCTCTGTTCCCCACCTTCCTGGTCTCAGCTGCCACTCCCCTTTCACCTCTAACCTCAGCCCAAGGCCAAGGCTGGGAGGTTGTAGCCATGGCAACATGAACAGCCCTCTGGGCCATGACTGCTTGACCCCGGGATCCCCCCCAAGTAGCCATGACGATCATAATTTGCCCCCCCGCTGCCAGCTTGTCCATGAATTCCATTCAGAGAGGGGAGGTGAACAAACGAAAGTGATGCAGGGATCAACGGATAGATGGACTAATGGATGGGCGGCCCCGACAGATGGACAAAAGAACAAAAAAGAGACGCGTGTGTCACTGAAAGGACAAAATTAGTTCTGATGACCTATTGACCCGCTTGCTCTCGTTCAGGTTAAGAAAGGGGGCGTTGCGCATTGGATGCAATTGGGGAACAACTCAACGGAGGAGGCCTCGCTTCACAAATCAGCGTCAAACTCCAAGAGGTCACCACTCCAGAGGCTTCCATTTCATTCTTATTCAAATAAATGGGACAACTTCAAACTATAGCTAAGTCCCGCCTAATGGCCAAAGAAAACGGTTACAATCTACTTTCATAAAGTGGAAACACACATTTAAGATTTAACGTTGAAAAACTAACAAGGAGGAAAAGTCCCAGACCGGCCAACGTCAATCACAAAGTAGCTGCGCCTTAAAGCATATCAGGCTTTATGGTCTATTTTACTCTAAATGAGATGATCATTTACTAAATGACCACAATACTGTATTGAAAATTACTTGAAACTAGCAATTGAGTCATTAAACATGTTTACAATACTAACTGAGGTAATAAAGTAAAAACAATGGTGATGTCTATAAAATCTGAGCAATGCACTGTAAGAAACCGGGTTACATTTTCAGAACCAGAGTTTGAAATGTTGCATTAATCATTATTTTATATTCATATAATATCATATTATTTTAACATTCATCATTAACCTACACCGGTTTTGGTTATATGGAACACCGTGCTTGTAACATATGTTACTGTGTAACATGTGGCAATAAATGGCTTCTGATTCCGATTCTCAGTCAGTGTCGTGTCACCTTGTCACGTGTGTGTGAATGGGTTGGAGGGGGGGCGGGTGGGTGTATTATACCTGCTGGAAGGCAACTTTGCTCTTCAATGCAGCCTCCTGTTGATGTGGGTTGGACGTGTAAATGGCTGAACGATACTGAGTGCCGTGGTCATTCTGCTGCCTCATGCCTGCATGAACACACGTACATAAAAGGCACAATAAGACACCCTACAAATACGCACAGCTACCACAATCACCAAGGAAACATCTGCATATAAAAAGGTTTTCAGAATGATGTCATTGTCTTGCATCTTGAACTTACGAAGCTAAATAAATTTAAAGATCACTGCAGATTTGGAGTTTCATTAGGGAGACCTGCGGTGTGTAGGTGCATGGGCTCATGTAGGTGGGTGTATTTTTTTCCCTCTTTATCATGCGGCACTGTCAGAATTTTCATCAGCTTTACATCAGTACGTTTGGTGGATGCCCGGGCCAAGTGCACCCGCGGTTTTTGGGGGGGGGAGGCCAAACCGCTGCAGTCACTCCTCTGTAGAGCCTACAATGCGGAGCGCGTCCGGCATCCACTCAGCCTTTGGTTCTGCTCTTTACTGAGGAGCATCATTCTTTTCTAAATCCTTGGCCTTATCAATGTTTGGCCTAATGGGCTAGTGCGAGTGTCTCTCTCTCTCACACACACACACACACACACACACACACACACACACACACACACACACACACACACACACACACACACACACACACACACACACACACACACACACACACACACACACACACACACACACACGCACACACAGATAGAAGCTCAGGTGACATGACAGAAGAACAGAAACAACATTATTACCTGAGGTGACTCTGCCATGCCTCTGTTTACCCCTCGCCACATTCAAAGGTCTCAAACAGGCTTTCCTCATGAGAGAACATCGGTTTGGTTGTTTTGTTCAACTACAGTCCGTCAGTGACAATGATATCTCTCTATGTTGTTTTCTATTTATAATGTGGGAGAAAACAGATTTCCCTAAACGTGCTGACAAGCTCGGGCCACAAGATGCTGACACCCTCCTGACACAGCATGTGTAGTTCTCTAGATGAAATTGTACCTTACATCATTGAGTGTCATAAGTACGTTCATGGCTATAAGTGTTCATCTGTTCTTCATTCAAATGACAGTAGACAAGCAGGCGTAGCCCGCTCTCCGACACACACTGGATGCCTCTGAGAATTAGCTTCACTGAAAGTAAACATTACACTATTCGTTGTTCCGGAGAGAGCTTAATATCTTTAATATCTTCTCTATCAAAATTAAAACATATTCTACAAATCGAAGAATTGGTCGGAGCTGGCATGGCTCACAGCGGAGCATTATGAAGACCACTGACATTAAGATCTCAGGGTGGTTCAAATATAGTTGTGATGGTGATTAGCTGATAAAAGAGAGGTAAACATACTCTGTTGCCAAGGTAACAAAAGTCATTTATTTTCTTGTGAGTTAGAGATGATACGGATATTAAAAAGGTCAAATTACCAGCCAAAAGTTTGGATACATTTTCTCGTTCAATGAGAAAAAAAAAACGAATGGAGCTCATTGTTACAATAACATGCTTCATCGGAGCCGCCCATTAGACATGCAACCCCGACCTTTTCCACTTTGAATAACGAGCCCGCCTCCAGCGCGAGTTGGGTTTGGGAGAATTATAGTAAAAAGAAAAGAAAAAAAAAGAAGAGAAAAACGACAACAAGGATCGTGAAAGCAGTGAAATGCATGGAGCGTCATTATCTATTTTGGCACAGTGGGGAAGGTTTGAACACAAACAATAATTGTTTTTTACTTTTACTTAACCTGAATAAAAAGAGGAGTCTACATTCACGTTGCTCTGTAAAGGAGTTTTTTGCACCAAAAGGCCAACATTTGTGGAACGTAATATTTTTTATTTAGCACTATCCTGAACCCACCAGAGTGGAAGCTAGCAGGAATGTCATTACTTTTGCATTTATTTGGTCATTAACAAAATTATTGAACAAAAAGCAGATTGGGTGAGCCTGCTCGATGAGATATAGAACAGTCTGAACCAAAGCGGCAGACCGGCCACGCAATCCGCAACAGTGCCGCGATGCTTGTGTTTCTAAAAACAGCCCTGATGTCATTTCATGAACAAACTTTTGTTAAAAGTACATTTTTTTCAATACAATTTTAGCCTTTATCATATCATTCACAAATCAACGCACTCTGATTTGTCGCCGTCTGCATCCATCTCTACGCTCACCCCCTTTTCCCTTCATCTCCGCAGTGTTGGATGTCGGCCATCTTGCCCCAAGGGCTGTTGTTCAGTGACGAGTTCAACGGAGGCCCCTCTATCAAAGGCCACCGAGCCACGATACCATTGGCCTTCCACCGGAGCCTTTGCTCTCATTGGCTGTCTGGAAAGGGGTCTTGTAGCTTTGCTGCTCCCGATGACCTTACACACTTCCCAGAGGTTCGGACCAGCTCTCTCACGCACGAGCGCAACGCACGCACTCGGCGCGTAATAATGAATTAAGAATCATCATCATCATCATAATCAAGACGTCCCTGTTCCATTCCACACGAGTTACTCCCTAATCAAAATATCAGCCTAGGTTTTGACTATACCAAGTCCAAATCCATGCCCACAAGCATGGAGTCCTCGGAGAACCAAGACAGACGCAAATACCACCCAAAAAATCCCCCCCCCCCCCCAGCGCCTTTCTTGCGCTCTCCATTTTCAACAGCCCCCTCCATCATTTTCTCCATCCATCAAAGACGGCAGTAATTATTAATGAGAGCCTCCCTGTTCTTTCTGCATTATGCATGAGAGCCTTGCCTCTGAAAGCAGAGGGTAATGGGGGGTGGACAGAAAGGGAGGGCTCTGGGTCACATACGTGCACACACGTGCATACACGTGCACACACACACATACACACGTCGCCACTTCTCAGCGTCACTGACCTACGCCCGTAAAGACATAAATATTTATTATACTCTGTACACCCCTAAATAAGAAAATTTAAATGTAACCCCTATTTTACTAATCCCAAATCAGACAAAATGGGAGCGTGGTAGATGACGTTGATTCTTAGAGGGAGTAGATTTTCTTTCCAACAAACATTCATGGACAAACCTGTGGACACAAACGTACATGCAGACACTTTTTGGGCTTGTTGTGTCTAAACACACTGATATTTCTTGCAACTCTTTCAAATCCAAAAACAGCTCAGCTTGTCCCTGTTGGCCCCTGAGGAGAAAAGCAGGCAATTTCTCCAGTTCATCATCTCCTTCCACCTCCATTCACCTTTCATCTTTGACTCCTACCTTATTCTCAACTCATCCATTTGCCACTACCTTCCATTCCCTTATCTCTTTAACAAAGTTCAGCCCAAGTTAATAGATCTCACACGTGGTCCAAGGAGGGGTGAAGATGCAGCGGGCGTAGAGCCAGGCTTGTTTTCCCGCAAAAAAATGGAGATAATCAGATTAAAGGGCTGCTGGTGAAGAACTGGTAGGGAGGGAGGTGGTGTGTCTTTTTACACAACGATGCTTCATCCTTTAACCACGTCTGAGATTAGCCTCACCCTTCAACTTCCATCTTTCCTTCTTTTATCTCTTTCAGCTCCCTCACTCCGTCTGCATTTCAAGATCACTCAAATAGACTTAAAAGCAAGAAAGGATTCCAAATGAGGCCGAGAGAAAAACATTTAATTAGACAGACGAAAGAGTACATTTCACAAGTCAAGCTATTGTCAGAGTATGCAATTAAGAAATATTTCTGCGTAATTGGTGACTTTTCGCATCCTTCTGGGCTAGGAGAACAAACATTTGAAGTTAATTCTGGAATCATTGCACTTGGCAGTGTGTGCCAATTAGAGTACAGCGGAATGAGCACTAATTAACAATCTGATGTCTCTTCTTCCTATTTTACTTCTCCCCGGCTACCCCCTCCCCGCCTTTCCTTACGCTGTCACCCGATGTGATACTTCAGGTCTGGAGAGAGAACGCTGCCCTGTGCCCAAACTGAACCACCATGAAGGGATTATTTGCCGTTGATACTATTCGGTAAACCCCCCCAAAAAACGGTACATAGCAAATAAAAAAGAACAACTGTAGTCTTTCCCAGTGTGTGTGTGTGTGTGTGTGTGTGCGCGTGCGTGATAGCACTCAGAGTTGTGCCGTACCCCGCGGTCCCGCTACGACTGTGTGCGTGCCAGCAGAGCCCTCGCCTCCTCGCCTCCTCTCCTCCTCCTCCTCCCCCCTCTCAGCTGCTATTTTTGCCCTATTCTTATGTAAGCTGCTCCTGACGCGCTGGAGACAGAGGCAGAGTACGGAGTTGGGATGGTGAGAGCAACCCCAGCGGACACACACACAGATTGTATATAGACACACACACACACACACACACACTAAAGGAACTGAATATGTGACACATGCAAACATACATGGCAAAACGGAAAGTGAAGCTCTGCTGGCTGTCAGATGGTGGCACTTCATATGCAGATGGAACATTAAACCAACGGTGTTTGCCTTGGCAATAGCGCGGTGTATATGCGTGCAGCTACGGCTCTGAGGCGGACATCATGTAAATTACTGCGGTAACTTTCGCCATGCCTTTTAAAAATCTGTTATCTCTCTTTCATTTTGTTTTCTCGACTGGAGCATTGCTTTGTGGTTCTGGGCATGTTGTCAGAGAACGCGGTTTATTTTCAGCAATATCTAAATCTAACAAGTTGAACTTGTACTGTTGTACTCAGTCAGTCAGTCGGAATAAGAGAATGAGTTACGTTCCACGTTACTTAAATCTTTGATATCACAAAGGGGCTGTATGCCGTTTTCTCTTAGTCCTTCCATGTTGTTTCAATTACAATCTTTTTGGTGGGAGTGAAGGTGAACAACAGCAAATGCACAGAATCCTGTTTAAAGAAAAACTAACCTATTACGACTTATCAAACATGACTATAGATACAACACATATTTACTCATCTTCAGCCTACTCAAATAGACACCCAGAACTCAACCCCCACATCGTGCACACACGTGCCGTAATCTCCATAAATTAGGACCGTCAATGTGCGTGAGGGTGTAATAACCGACATCTGGTAATGAGCACGCCATTTTCAGCCAACCAGTGGAGAGGCGTGGGGTTGCTTTAGAAGTGTGGGGGTGGCAGAGGTGGCAGGTCAGGGGTCAAGGTCACCTCCTGCAGGGTTTGGCTTTAGATGGCTGGGGTAACCCTAAATTGAGGGATGTGGGGACACTGGGGGGGGGTCCCCAACAGGGAATTGGCGTGTGTCGCAGCCAGCTGGGGTGAAGTTATTATATAAGGGAATATTCATGCTCATTCTAATTGTCAAGAGGTAACTGCCACTAGCGTGACTTGGCAGATGGAAGGCAGCTTGAACTATGTACATTTTTTCCCTTTCCATGCATGTTTGTTTGCGTGATAAGCCATATGATACTAGGTTCTATAGTTTAAGAGATGTATATGCGACTGCACACCTTATACAGCGGCAAGCGGATGGAAATCATCACAGATTTGTTTGCACGCCATGACTATAATATATTTATTTTATAGCGTGTGACTACGTTAAGACGTTATCAAACGAGGACAGCCTCCTCGGCCGTCCTAGCTGTGCATTTGCGCTTTTGTGGCGATTGCTGTTCACTGAAGCAGCATCAGCATCAGCCCACACAATAAATACTACATGGCCTCAAAAAAAAAGAGAGAGGCTGGAAGGAACAGGGTAAGAGGAAGGAAAAGATAAGAAAAGAGATGAGGAGGAAACAAAGAGGAGGGGAAAAGCATTGGCCGTTAAGAAGAAGGGGCGGCGGAGGAGGGGATGGGAGAAACGAGAAAGTGTGTCTGCCTGTGTGGAGGGACGGGGGGGGGGGTGACTAAGAGATAAAAGTGGAGTGAGTGAACGCGAGTGTGTTTGTGTGATGAGCGGATGGCCTCGGGGAGCGGTCGACTTACTGCGCTACTCTGCGGATGTTGCCGACGGGCTCCAGGCCGTTTGCTCACTCGCCCTTTCACTCTCCAAAAAGTGACTGGGGGGGGGGGGGGGGGGGTAGCGGAGGTGCCCTTCTGTTTGAATAGGTTGAGGAGCAAAAATGTATGGTAATGCACTATGAAAGTAGCAGTATAATAAAAAGAGGGGCCGAGTCGACTAGGGTGAAGTAGTTGCCAGATAAGATGCTTCTTACAGGGATCAAAACGGGGCCTATATTCCCGAACGAGGGGGCATCCAATGAACCAACCGATACGCCGCGTGAAGCACTCGTGTGCACTCTTTTCAATGCATTCGCCGTGTGCGTTTCTGCCTTTTCACATGTGCGCACAAATGGAGAAAAGCTGTCTATGAGTAGGCATAATGAGCACTTGTGCATAATGTGAAGTGAACAGTATGCTTGAGTATGGAAATGTGTGCGCAATTGATCTGCAGTGTGTGAAAGAACAGCAAGATGCGTTTGCGTCTCATCCAGTGATCATTCTAGATACGTTAAATCATGTGTTCAAGCGCCAAAACAAAATATTGTTTTCTTACACGAAGGCGGGACTCTGACGGTTTAGATTTAATCCCAGTTTGAGTGAATCCACGCACACACACACGTGTGTGAAGGTACGTTACTGAAGAGTTGCAGACCTAAGAAACTTATTATATGGATAGTGCGTTGAATGGGGGGTCTTTATGCAACATCCCACGGAAGCCGGCAGATTGAGACTAGTGTTGCTGAATATGGAAAGAGGGCACACAGCAAAGGTTTCTGATTGGCTGCTAATGTTGCTATCCAGGCTGGGATTGGTGGAGTTGACGCAGCCCGACATCACGTTGTCGGGACTAAACCCTTTTGAACTGAGGCAAAGCAGAGAGGCACAGATCTCAAAACACATACACACAAGTGCATACACACTTTCAGGTACACACCCACGCATTAAAAGGAAGTATTGCTTGCAACTGAATATGCATCTGTACATGATAATTCCGCAAGCATTCCAGCACAGAGTGTGCATCTATAAACCAGGATCGCGTTAGGAGAAAACAGAATTTGTAATGTTTCCGGGCTCGTCTCCTCGTATGAACATCTCTAGTGTGCAGTTAAAAGGGCGAAACTCCTTAATTTCTTCATTCTCTTTTAAGCCAGACTCTAAGGTGGACGGAATAAATTGGAGCTTAGGCATGCGTGAAGGCAGAGCCAGCGGGCCCCTTTCCACCACTCCACGCCACATTTGTCAAATCAGAGGAGTTTCTGCTACGCGAGAACCCAGAAATTGGAAAATATGAACATGGCAGGGATTTACATTTAAGTCACGCACAGGGAGTAATGCTCCAAGAAAAAGTATACTCGAGTTTGTGGTCTATGGTCTTAACAGTAAAAAAAAAAGAAAGAAAATTCACCGTCAGTAGGCTGCATGCTATAAATAAAACATGAGATGAGACAGGGGAGTGAGTCAGGGGAAACGCATGACTACTATTCTGGCCTCACTGCGTTGCCCTGTGGCGTGTTGCCTCGACCTGTACCTTTGCCTGTAGTAAGACGTGTCAATGAACAGGAGAATCTACTCTGATAGGCACCAACCACAATAGTTACTTTCGCTGATGCCTCAGTACAGTCGACCCACTCGTGGTTGGCCAGGTGAATTGGAATGTGAAGAACATATGGGAACAGATAGAGATTTATAATGGTGGATGCACAAACGTGTCGGGCGTCTGAGAAAACAACGACGACGGATACAAAATAACTGACAGAACTGATTCGGTCAACGTCATTGAGCGTGCGCCTGTCGGAGCTTGTTTTAAGGCTGAAGGTCAGGCTTATGAATCCTTGATCCCTCGCTTTCCTACTTGTCATGCCCCTCCCTACATCCAATATGAGCAAACAGAGTACGTCTTTGCCTGTCTTCTCTACAGCGCTCGCTCACACACACACACACACACACACACACACACACACACACACACACACACACGCACACACACGCACACACACGCACACACACGCACACACACGCACACACACGCCCTCCTGATGCATTAATGTTCTAACATCACCTCCTCCAGTGAGCAGAGAAAACAAGAGAGCAAGAAACTCAAAGAGAGTGATGCGTTGTGGGGGATGGGGTTCTTGTCACCGCTGGAAGGAGAGGTTGGGGGGTTGCCAGACGGGTGGGTGAAGTGTGTCATTAAAGAGGAGAGAGGTGGGGACAGCAGGGTTAAAATGCTCTGAAGTTAAACTGTCCGTGTTTTCGCCCCGCTGTCCGGAGTGTATCGTGGAGGAACATGGATCAAGGAGTATTTGCAAAGAACCAACTATATTTTCCCTTGATGAAAATCTTGAAAACTTCTGTCAAGGACCATAAAGGGACGTAAAAGATTATTGCACGATCAAACAGAAATTCACAAAACCCTGTTCAAGTTAAAAAGAGACCATATTTAGCATCATAACCGCCTCGAGGTGCATGACAAATGGCTGGTTTTCACTAAAGTACGTACCATGAACACGGACCGCATTTCTTTTGCAGTTAGGGCTTGCACATGCATGACACTGGTGTTTCTCTCCATGGATGGCTGGATCTCAGACACATTAACACTGTCTGGCATTGACTTACACCCGGGAGACCTCCCCCCACCACACACAGGCCCACGTCTGGGCATCATCCTTCTGCTCTAATACACCCGTGGCCCTCGGGATGGGCCTTATTTGACGGTGAAGTTTAAGGGTTTGAGTGCGTGATGCTACCTTGTGTAGGATCGTGGTTTTCCCAAAAGCGCTTCAGCAGCTCCTCGAGGCTGACGTCTTCAGGGGAGAAGACCACCCTCACCACCTCAGTGTGACCGGTCAGGCCTGAAATCATAAACACAAACTTTCATGTTATTGAATGACATTTACACTTATTGCTTCTTCTCCTCCCCCTCCTTGAATCTGCACAATTGGACAGTATTAGAGAGAGAGAGAGAGAGAGAAGGCAGAGCACTGGTTAAGGCGTATGGTGGAAGTAGCCAAGCGCAGACGGACACTCGCTCCTGTTTGCCGCTACCAGGACCCCCAAAAAGGTTCCACGGCCTCCCTGCAGGCCTTTTCTATCTTGGGGAGGCAAGTGCGTACGGGCACAGACGCACAAACACACACGCACAAAAGAAAAGGCCTACTTAAACACTTCCTCGCAAATATATAACTTTGTTCATTTAAATACAGAAGCATTGGGATTTCATCAAAAGCAGCCATTCTCGTCTCTCACACGTTATAAAGACACATGCACATGTGTGCACACATACAGTATAACATACACACAAAGACAAGCCCACACAAATGCATCAGCTGCATTGACCACAATAGGGGAAATGGTACCAAACTCATGCATCTGTCTGGAGACCCACTTTATGTCTCTAAATGACACAATTAGGAAATCACCAAAAGAGTTCACCTCTTTTAACAGTTACCAAAAATAAAGAACGGTCAACTTTAAGTGGATACGAGAAGTCTGTCAAAAGAATCTGACAAAGAACAAGTCAGTGTTTATCTGAGGTGTTTTTCAATACTACAAATGCAAACATATGATAATGGAGGACGTCTAGCGTCTGTTACTATGTACTGTATGTGTTTTCTCATAAACAAGCTCAAAGAATGTGGCAGGAAGGGTGTCCACACATGTGCAGGTCAGCTATATGTTCGCCCTAAAGTTATGCATGGATGTGTGGCTGGCAAGTGGGCTGTGGAGGGGCTCGAGAGGAGGTTGCAGGGTGGGCCTCAGCTGTAGGAGGGGGGGGGGGGGTGATAAAAGGCAAGAGGAAGCGCATGTGTCACTTTAGGCAAAAGCCCAGGTGAGCTGTCAACCAATTGTCTAGAGAGGTTGGCGAGGACAGCCTTCAAAATACACACAATCTGACCATATGCATGCACGTTGCTATGGTTAAAGCCCCCATTGGGTCGGGCTCTACGCCAGCAGTCAAGCAAAATTACCAAGCACTGGGATTCTCCACACTTGTTCCATCTGAAGAGGGTGAAAGGCCCGAAGAAGTGATGCCACTAAAGCTGCAGGAGATTTAGAGTTTCTGCTGAGTGACACTTCAGCAGAGTTAACAGCCTTCTGGGCCAGAGGGGCCTCCCAAATCCCCATGACATCCTGTTGCCCTGTTTTATTTAATTGTTCTCTGCTGTTGTATTACTTGCTTTCATCTAGCCCGCTTGTTTTAATCTTTAAAACCTACCAATGGTCAAAGGTTTGATAAGAAGCTTCCTTTAGTGGATCCACTGCTGTTTTTCTACCGTCTGTGGGGTCAACAAAACGTCAAACGGGACTGCAATTCCAAACAAACTGGCGACAGTGGTTTCTTTTTAGTAGAAGACATAATTTGGGTTGTTATTGAACAGTTTTCACCAACCCTCCTTTGTCAATGAGGCGTGATGATTGTTGGATTTAAAAGCAGTGAAGAGCGTAAGCACAGAAGGTAACAGAGTCACCTCTTGATTCTATAGCGCAAACTCACTGCAAAAACGGTTCTGTAAATTAGTCGTGTACAAAATATGCCGATTGGTGAGAACATCTCCGTCACACAGCTGTCTGTGTTGTCTGTCTATCTGCCTGTCCTTCCATCCTCCCCTGGCTCTGCTGACAGTTCCATCAGCTCCTTCTTCCTGTGTCCGTCCGTCCGTCCGTCCGTCCGTCCGTCCGTCCGTCCGTCCGTCCGTCCGTCCGTCCGTCCGTCCAGCTCTGTCCTGCCCCGGCCGCGCTGACAGCTCCTCGGTCTCATGCCGTCGCAGCGTTCTGCTCCGTCATGGCCACTGGAGCGACGCCTGCACTCTCTCAGCAGATGGACAGGGAACCGTTTTCTCTCCAGCTTTTTTTTTTTTCTCAAACGTTCATTCCCCTCAAAAGTTTATTTTACCCACTTCTTCACTTGCTACAGCTCTCAGTCGCTTTCTTTTTCTCTCACTTGCCTCCATCTCTCTCCCTCCTTTATAGCCGAACGTCTTGTTGCTGGGGGGCAGAGGGACTTCGGGTAGGAAGTCCAAAGCGTCTCACCCCTCCTCTCTATGCCCCCGTGCAACATCTGCACCTAGCCTGCATGCCTGCATGTAACAAGGCTCCATCGGAAATGGAGGATTTAGCAAACGAACCCTTGCCGACTCGAGATACACGAGACAGGCAAGCAGAATATGAGCAAGCTCGACATCGTCCTCTGAATTATGCATCGCCCTGCATGAATTTATTTGAATCTGTCAATTATTCGAAAACAAACAGAAACTAACTTGGAAGAGCTTTGACAGCAAATTCACTGAATTCAAGCCCTTTTCTTCTTTCGACCCCATATTCGCCTTATCAAAGACGCCGTAATGGAAGCCGGTTTATGGCGCTTCACACGCAGCAACCTCCGTTGGAAGAAAAAAGAAAACGCCGCAGTACAGCACAGTACAGAGCCCAATCTTTACAAGTAGGTCATGGGGGGAGGGGCGGGGAGCGGGGAGTGGGGGAGGTGGGGGGGAGGCCCATCTGGAGCAGTGCATTCTGAGTAGTTGACTGCAGATGAAGGGAAGGCGGCGAGGGGATGAGAGCGCTGCACTTGAAAGACTGTGTCTTTTTCGGTTTCCCTTTGCAATTTTTGGTTCTCTTGAACTCTGACTGATTTTACAGAGGAATGTCCTGCCAACCCACACCAACTCCTACCTTCAGGTAAAATTTATCAAAGTGTTGAGGGCCCTCATATTAAAATGTGCATCACCTGAGCAGACCTCGTGGTAAGTGGGGTTGGGTGTAAAGCCGCCGGCGTAGCCCACCTGTGTGGTGTAGACTCCGGGAATTCGCCAGAAAAGTCTCTCCGCTCCCCAGAAACAGCCTAGACCTGGACACAAAGACAGCACGCAAATTAAAACACACACACAATTAATGCTTCTTGTCTGCCATACTATCGACACATTGGATCAAAATGTGTTAATAACTACAAAATAAGTTACAGGGTTCTATATTTGGTTCATTGCCATTACACAAATGTGTGATTATGCAGTCTCACCAAGCATGATGGTCTCCATGCGTTCTGGAAAAGGCTCCACGGTGGGATTCCCGTTGGCCGCGTGCTTTTCTGTAAATCAAAACCGTGGGTAAACGTGAAATTACATCTTGGCACCGTATTTCAACAGCAGAAATTATAGCATGTGTGCAGCGGCCCCTCTAGCGGCCTCGGCTTGGCCTCATAGCCCTGCCCTTCGTTATAGGCTCACCCGGGCCAGCGGATCAGAGGCCTCTGATGCTGGAAGACAGTTAAGAGATTACGCGGCTTTGACCGCCCTTCTACCCCTGCTGTCCTCTCCTCAATGGCCACAACTAAAACACTACCACACAGTTATTTCCTGATATCGCTCGTACGCGTATATACCTTCAAATGTGAGTGTATTAAGTGCTAAGCTTGGCCCCCTTGGGTGCCCGCAAAGAAAAAAAACAACGACGGCACTTCAGGGCCACGCGCCCGCGTAACCTCTCGAGCAGGGGAGGGCCTCGCCAAGTAGACCCGATGCTGTCCTAATCTCCACTGCGTTAAAAATACTCGATAAGTAAAACATACCCAAGTGCTGAGAGATGGCAGGGGGGGGAGAGGCACTCTCCTGCCAACTGTGGTGCATGGAATTAGAGCGCTAAAAAGGAAATTAGTGTGTGTGTGTGTGTGTGTGTGTGTAGCCCACAGATGTGTGAGGAGGATTAGGATTTAAGAAGACTGAGTTGACTTAGCGTGCAAATCTCCACTAAGCAAGGCTGGTTTGTACTGCAACTACTAATATTAGTCTACAGATAAACAGGCCACGGGGTACACTGGGAGCTTAGGGACATACTTACAATGGATGCTTGCTTTAAGTTCAGCATGTGATTGGTCTCTGGCCGCTGAGAGATGCGATGTGTGACATTGATCTGAATACCAACAATCTCTAATTTGATTGACAATAGTTTATTTGCTAGATAGGCCCGAGATGATCTAATGTTCACAGGCCAAGAACCAGCAGGCTGCAGTTTATAAAAGACGGAGAGATTTCTGTGAAGCCGAGCAGAGAAGCACTGAAAAGAGTGCAGCGCCTTGACCTTTAAGATGAACATACATTTACAAGAATACAGAAAGGAAAAGAAGCATCACTAGGGAGACTCCTTGATATTAGACGAAGCGCGTTGGTTTTTCCTGCACAGAAGCAGAGTGCAAGAGCACAGAGGCCTGGGCTGCCTTCATGGCAGTCACTTCCTGCACTCCCGTTGAGCAACAGTTCTGTGTTTTACCAGCAGGTCGTTTGACTCTGCCAGGTCACGTGCACAGTCAGCTGCAAAGAACATCCGTGTCGGTGACTGTACTAGCGACACATTCCCAGTCCACGTGGTCGGCAGAAGGGACAAATATGCATCGTTCTTCTGTGAATTTGATTACTCTTAATCCTCTGCTCGCTCACTCACCCCCTCTTGTCCTTCATATTTTGGCCACACTGACAAAAAGAAGTGAAGTTGCCAAATGACTGAGAGAGAAAATGTGAGAGAGAGACAAGTGTGCGATAGAGGAGGAGGAGTGGGAGGATGAGAGATCAGCCTGCCAAAACAATAAAGGAGTAAATAGCCAGTGAGAAGCAACAGATGAGGGTAGCAGAGAGAAAGAGAAAGAGAGAGAGCGGGAGAGTGAAGGATTCTTTTGGCTTTCGGACCCCCATGCCTTTGGGCACTGAATAAAAAGACCAAGCACTTCATCCAAGAGAGAACACAGAGAAAACAAACAAATAAACAATAAAAAGAGATAAAAGTTGAAGACAGCCAAGAACACGCCGACACAGCATTGGCCAGAGAAGCCAACTACGAGCCCCCCTCGCTCCACCCCTCCCTCCCTCCCGCCCCACTCCACTAACTCAGCTACTCTCCGTCTCCGGCTTCACACCCTCTTGCTCGCAACACCTTCCCATCATCCCTCACTCCAGCCTAACAAACACGCGGACACCCTCCTGCACGCCACACAAGCACGCCATCAGCTGCACAATCACTCGCACACAGACCTCTGCTGAGGGTATTCCTCCCATGGAGCAGCTGCCAGAGGTCCAGGTGGTGCCAGGCTGGCTCCTTTCACTCTGCCTAGCCCGGTACCCCCCCCCCCTCCTTGCTAGCCCGGCGCCCACACCCCATTCTGACAGAATTACCCCACCTAACACAGAAAGAAAGAAAACTGGCTGAATACCCTCACTGCGCTGCCGCGCTATGCCAGCAAAAGAAAGAACAGAGGACGACCAAAAAAAAAAAAAAAAAGCAGGGAGGGTGACTGACTGGGTTTACAAAAGAAGAAGAAACAGGCTGAATATGGGGGAAGGATTCATGAAAAGGATTTTTTCCCCAAACTTGGATGAAATATGGGCGCAATTTGTTTTGTACTCGTTTTTGAGGATCTCTGGAAGGCGCTGTGCAGCCTATACAGTACGCCGGGATCGAAGCGCAATACTTTGGTCAGCTATTGATGCATTGAGCATGCCGGTTGTGTGCGGCAGGACCAGAAAGAAAACGCTGGACTAAACCCCTGACCCGCTCGTACCACGGTTACCACCAGTCAAGGGCACAACAATCCGTTGCTCAGCGGATAACAACGTCCAGTTTGAACTGTTTGGGATTGGTATTTAGTCTTTGTTACCCTTCGATCCTACCCGTGGTCCTGTGTTTCTCCCCGTAAAACCGAAGTCCAAGAGCTGCTGCACCCTCATGTAGAGACACAGGAGAGGTACTATCCCTGGATGCCAAAAACGGTGACGGAAAGGTTGATTTCCAGGCTGCTCAGTTTATTTCCTTCCAAAAATCCATTCTCCCCCCCCCCCATCTCTCTCTTCCCTTTCCCCTCCCTCTCGCTACTCCTCTTTCTAGCTTCACACAGGTTGGCAGAGAGTCAGGCACGAGTTGTCGGAGGGGGCTGAAGCTTTATACCGGTGCCAACTAAATCTGCTGTATGGGAGCCTGGGTAGGGACTAGAAAGAGTGGGCAACATGAGGGGAGGGGAGGAAAGAGGCCAGGCTGGGGGGAACGTGGTTGATTTTAAAAACAGTAAGAGGGGAGTAAAGTAAATAATCTAGCTGTGGCCTAAAAACAACCCAACTCGGTAATAAGAACTCACACACATTGATAGTTGCCATAGTTGTTCAACTTTGAAGCCATCAATGCATTCCATACATACTGTATCCTAGCAACGGAAACAGTTGCTATGGAGAAGTCTACCTACTATAGCACTGGCTCCATTTTCCTCTGCAAGGAAGATGGAGGCACATCCTGTCGGCGCCTGCACAAATATGTTTACTCAAACATTGATCTGACGACGGACGACGAACTACTTAAAAAGTCAAAAGACATGAAACTGAAGACCGGGTTTTAAGTCTCTGTTTGCAGAGATTCCACAGAAAATCGAATTTTCTATATCATTTACAACCTCCAGTGTCGGAGGGGAGTCAAACCGGTCTGCAATGGCAAAGAGGCAGGATCCAGTATTCAGGGCCTCCAATTCACCTTAACTGACGGCAGTATGGAAAGTGCAGCTGAGAAAGGAAACCACCACAGACAGTGGGTGAACATACACAGTACAAAAACAATCAACATTTCAGGTTGGGTAACAATGTTTTTTCACTAAACCGTACTTATCATTTAGCAACAACGCCGTCCCAGCAGAGCAAACCCCTCTATCTATTTATCTACTGATTGTGTGCCTAAGTGGCACGCTTTCCAAATCTCTTACATCTTTTATTCCCCTCTGAGCTTATTGCAAAAGCCAAATAAACAAGGGCATCTTGAGGCAGCAGAGATAGGAAAGAACAAAGCGTCAACGCCAGAAATATATCTTCCCAATGAACCTGCTTTGAAGAGTTATAGCAAAGCATGTTACAGAGATTGATTTTGGTCAGCTGACCTCCCCCATCCTGTTTGGAAGAAATATTGGCAGTCTATCCTGCACTGACTCAAAATAATAGCGTCTGTGCCCCTACCATGTAGCAATCTGCCACTGGATCATTCTCGCCAAGGTCATAGAGTACGTCATACGGACTGCAGGGAGGGAGGGAACGCAGGACACCGGGACGTCTGAACAAGGAACTTCTTTAAAGATGGAAGAGGCGACTTTCAAAATGAGTGATCGCAAAGAAGAGACAGAGGACAAAGTTGTGCTCCCACACGAGGCTGGGACGACACAGGGCATATGTGGAGCCAGTCCTTGCTGTCCTTAAATTACTCATGCTTATTCCAACACACACACACACACACACAAGAACAAACCCCGTCCCAACCTAAGCTGCCCCCCATGGTGAAAGGGGAGGAACAGATTTCTGCCACGCGGCGTCTCCGAGCTGCTCCGACAGACGGAGCAAGAACTTACGGCGGGGTGGAGCCTTCATGCGCATAATGCCCAGATGGGCCCCTGGACGCTGCGGCACCACTTCCTCCTATGCAATCGCGCCCAGCTCCCACAATGCACTCTGTGGACGTCTCAGCCCCAAGTAGGTGAAAACAAACAAGAACCCCGGTTCAAATCGCACCATGTTTGGCCACGGCGGCATTCTCGAGGTGCGAGCCTCGCCGTCCCTAAATAGGATGATGGAAAGTTGAACGAAAGGCTGGAAGCAGAAATTACTCAGCGCCACATGACAGGTAATGATGAGAATTTAAAATGGGACTAAAAAAAGAGAAAGGGCGCACATGTGAAAATGCACTGAAACCCAGATATGACATTTTTTCTTAGGTTTTCTTAACTTTATAAATACTGAGCACCACTGTATGTCTTCGCAGTCACAGCATACAGTGGTACTTGGATAGACAAATGTTACATTTGAATAAAAAAACACTTGATAGTGTACATACGATGAATAACAGCTCAACAACACCTGACCACGTGACGAAAACTCCATTTCCTGCCATTTCCGTGTCACGTTGGCTTCTCCCGAAGTTCACTCGCTTGGTGTTCATGACAAGCGCCACAGTTTACCCAGCTGTCAGCTCGGGCACATCTCCATCACGCCGGAATACCAACTTTTCAGTTCGCGGCGTGGTGTCGTTTACCTGCCACGACCCATTCTGTCCTTCCTTCCCTTTTCAGCGCCCGCTCTTCTGCTGAGCGCAACGCTCTCCCCTGCCATTGCGGCAGCGCCAGCCGACCCACGCGGCCGCGACAAGGAACCCAAACGGCGCGTTTTGGGGGACACACCCGGGAAAATGTCTTCCGAGACGCTTCCCATCGGGTTTTTCCGGGTTTCAAGGGGGGGGGGGGGGGGGGGGGGTGGGGATGTGGGTGGAGACGGGGCGGCGAAAGCGCCACCGATATGAATATTCATCGTGCGTGGGCGCCGTCGTGCGCTGCATATTAACTAATCGAGGGGTTAATATGACTTTGGCACAAAAGCCTACAGTGGCGCACCGTGTGCGGGAACGAAATTAAATTGAAATAAATATCCACGCCGTTCCGCATGCAAATGAGCCCGAGCCAATTATAAGCTCTCGCGCGGCGGGAGGCGCGCGTGGCTGACGGCGTTGGGAGTTTGGGTGGATGTATGGACGTGCGGATCACTTCAGGTTCATTTGACTTGTGTACGGTTAATCCGGAAGAGTAACAGCTGCATGAGTATACAAACTGTTAATTGCCTACAAAATGGCTCATATGGGTTAAAATGTGCAACAACAACAACAAAAAATAGAAAGCGCTCAGTCGGATCTGTTTATGACAGCTGCGTTTAAAGCTGAAAACTTTATCTGAATAAAAATAGTGTGCCTAGATACTATATAATGCAGCCCACATGTTCTACACACGAATCCATGCTGTTTCTTTACCTTCTGATTTATGTAACTTTATTATTTATTTATTGTTAACTGTGACTATGATGTGATATGACCAAACGGTGTAAAGGGCACATGTAGTATGTTTGGTGTTTTGTGAAGATGTTCTGTTCGTTGGTAATAATTTTCAGGTACATTAAACTATATCACTCCAATAACGTGATATTTTGTCCTTTAGGTTACCAAACGATATTATCTGCACTTACGGTAAGGCGTAACAATCGCATCGAGGTACAACATCACTACACGTCATGTCATCTTTGCTGCAAAAGTGTGAAGATTTACAAATTGCGATTCCAAAATCTTCAAGCAAGTAGGATTTTTGATGCCCCGGATTTGCCTCAGTCATCAAAAGCCAGATACGCTCTACATTTTGTCATTGATGGTGCCAGACCAGTAATGTGAAAGTAATGACGGCGGTTATTTATGTGTGGGAACTTCTTGTGCAAGCTTTGAACCAGCCAATTTACCAGTAACAAAGAATCCAGGGCATTGTTCCTGTATCCTGCAAGCAAGAATAAAATCACACCCTGCTGCAATACCCCGTTTCCTCTTCCCTCTTCCTCTCTCTTCCCCTTTTCTCTGTCATTTATCTGCTGGGGAAATGAACCTCAATCACCTGCGGAGGGGCTGAGGGCGGCACAGGGGACTTTGCAATGCAAATGCCAGGTAATTACCCAAAAGCTAGGAGAGTGGAAGCATGCAGACGAAAAAAGAGCACCCATAGGGAAAGACAGAGAGAGAGAGAGGGATGAACCAAACACTGGGTTCACATGCCTGTTGATGCAGGATGATTGGGGTGTTTTGGGGGATGTGTGGGGCTGTAGAAAGACGAAAGGGGAGATGGGAGGGGGGAGGAGGGTACGGAAAGGGGATGAGAGACACTTGGATGGATGCGAACCACGGTGTGTGTTATAAGTTCCTTTAACAATTGATCAATGAATGTCGTATTCCCCCGTGTCTCTGCGCTG